CGCCAGACTGTCTGCCTAGTCTGGAATCCAGCCTATTGATCTAGCCAAAATAGCTGAGTTGATTTCAGACATGTTTCAGGCATGATATAACAATAGGTTGAGATAAGTTTGCATAACTATTTTAGGACTTAACAGGGTTTTGTACTTAGTGGGATAGTCATAAAAGTATATTAAGCTGATTTACATGCACTATACGAGTATACCTACTCACAGGCCCCTTTTCCGTACTGGACACACTGAGCACGGCCCAGGGCCCCGCAATAATAATAATAATAAACCAGCAAAAGCTGAGAAAAAAAAAATCTCAGGACAATTCACACAGAAAGAAGAAAGAAAGAAAGAAAAATATTTTATTCAGTGCAATGTAAAAAATAAAATACAGCGCCATCTAGTCCCAAGTTAAGCTAACTAAAGCTTGTGTTATGGGTACTAGATAACTGATACAAGTACATACATTTATTTTCGTAAATATATACATAGAAAACACCCAGACCGATACAAACAATCATACTCATGAATACAAATGTTTGTGCCGTGCGAGGAATCGAACCCGCGACCATCGGACGTAAAGCGATGTGCTAGACCACGAGACCACAGAGGTCGTCAAAATCGTCAAAATCGTCAAAATTGTCAAAGTCGTCAAAGTCGCAATGGATTGGGGCCCCCTAGTCTAGTCTAGTCTCTAGTCCATTACCAAACAATAATAGCTACTCTACTCTCGCCTGAAAAAGTCTTAAAAATGCTAACCGATGATCAATTTGTTAATCTATACATACAAATAAAATTGAGGTGTATGTTTGTAATATTGTAATAACCGTTTTTAACTACATGCATATGAATATAAATACGCTACATAGACCAAAATAACACTTTTTACAATTTTTGTCTGTCTGTTGGTTCCGGCTAATCTCTGAAATGGCTGGACCGATTTTGATGGGACTTTTATTGGTAGGTAACTGTAAAAGGAGTAACTTAGCCTACTTTGATTTTAGAACATTTCTTTTAATTTAGAAATATAAAGTTAAATTCCATGCGGACGAAGTCGCGAGTGCAGCTAGTGTTTTATAAATGTCTAGCAGGAATTTTAACCCCTCATTACATAACAAGTTTTAAGTGAATTTTCAGTGGATTCCCTCACGCATAGGAATAAAAGGGTATGAGGAGGCAGATCGGTTGTCCAAATCAGCAGTCTTAAATGGCAGACCAACAGAGATAGCTCCTTATTATTCAGGAGTTATGCATAAATTCAAAAGAATTGTATTTGAGAAATGGAAAACCCATTTTGATAGTATATCTCATTCTAATGGCATTTGGTACAAGACAATACAGACAGAACCACCCCGGGTGCCTTGGTGCAATTATGTGAAGGGTACACGTTCTCACATAGTAAAGATGCATAGACTCCGTTCTGGACATTATCCATCGGCAAAGTTTGCATACCTGATGAAAAAAAGCAATTCACAAAATTGTGAAGTATGTGGTACAATAGAGGATGTATATCATTTGTTGATGGAGTGTGTCAGGAACGAGAGTCTACGATATGGAATAACGTCAGACCATGAAATAAATATATTAGATGTTGGTGCCATACAAACTGTTTTAGCCGATCCTTCAGACAGTGCGGCTAAGGCAATTTGTTCACTGGTTAGGTAATGGAGTGATTACTTTTAGGGTACAATGGGACTGACATGTACTTAGATGGTATAAAAGTCCCTAAATTTAAAAAGAAATAAAAAAAAAATTAAAAAGTTTTTAAAATTATTTTTGCCTGGTTTGTTTTGAAGGGATATATTTATATCGGCCCTGGTGGCAATAAGACATATTACGATCACTGATTTAAGTCATAGTTTGACGGCCTCGGTGTTCTAGTGGTTTAACACACCGCTTTACTTCCGATGGTCGCGGGTTCGATTCCTCGCACGGGGCAAACATTTGTATTTATGACTATGATTGTTTGTATCGGTCTGGGTGTTATCTATTTATATTATGTATATATATCTATACTATATATATATATAAGTATTTACATCACTTGTCTAGTACTCATAATAGAAGTTCTGCTTACCATGGGACTAGATGGCGCCGTCTTAAATGAAGCGAAAAAAAACGATAACAAAAAAAATTGTACACGACTTTGTACAAAGTCTACCTAGGTAGAACAGACGTGACAGTACCTATATATTATTATTAGTCTTACCCGCGACTTGGCCCGTGTGGAGGTTTTTTTTTTATTAATTAAAATAAATAATATTCTAAAATCAAGCTAGCTTATCTTACTCCTTATAACATTCGCTATCTGACAGTGAAAGTTCCGTCAAAAAGATCCAGCCGTTTCAGAGATTAGCAAGACCGACAGACAGATAAAAAATTAAAAAAAAAATTTATGTAATTACCGTATATACTTTCATATGCAATTCATGAACAGCCGTTAACTTCAAATTATATACAGACACTTCAATTATATTTATTTGTATAGATTAATCATCAATAAGCCGATTTCTTTTGTGAATGAAAAATGTACTCATTGCCTTTTACAATACGAACTTGTTTCCTTCAGTAAGTTTACAAACCTGTATTTTTTCTTTCATCCCTTTGTAATACCTATGTAATATCACAGCTGTTACAAGCAATACGGTCTAACCAGACTTATTTGCTTGTCTGTCATTTCAAATATCCAAATATTAATAAAAAATATTGAATAGTGAAAAGAAAAAAAAATTATATATATAACTGGTACGAAATTGCGGGCTATCTGATGGAAAGTGGCATCCATCATTTATACCTATAATAATAATAATAATATCCTCCATCTAGTCCCAAGCTAAGTGGAGCTCGTGTTATGGGTACTAGACAACTGATAGAAAAAACTTAGATATATATTTTTTAAATACATATATAATATACATAGAAAACACCCACATTGATACAAACAGTCGTACTCATGAATACAAATGTTTATAACGTGATAGGAATCGAACCCGAAACCATCGGAAGCAAAGTGGTGTACTAAACCGCTACACGACCGAGTCTATCACCTATTATGAACAGAATTATGGATATCACGTCATCATGCGATACCCATGACATCCATCTGCATTACCATCTCGGAGGACAAAGAGGGCTTGTGAATTTACCCTATAATTACTCTGCCATACAATATACACTGTTTATATCGTGGGAAAGGAGTTCTTAGTAATTTTCAGTGATGATTCCATTGCTGGCAATGTACCATGTCAGATTAACCTCCACGCGGTTTCTCCTGGAAACTATTATGATAAATTCCTTGTGAATTTGTTAGTATGTGCTAACTGAGCTGACCTCATGTTCATCTTATTACCCTTCACTGGTGCCTCGCCAGCGTACCACACCGTTAGCGCAGATAGGTGAACCAATCCATTATCATCCATTAAAAAGGATGGGCTGTCAGCTAACCCTATAATTCCACTGCCATATCTCACCAAACACAGTTCACAAAGCAAGGTACTTGGCGACAGGAAATTTAAGTGAATTTAAACTCATTTACTTTAAACAAGGTTGAGTGAACAAATTGCAAATTGGCCGAGAAAATTACTCATAACCGGTGAACTTGCATGAATTGTTTGATGAATCAAGATGTCAATCTTTGTATGCTATGACTCCATTATAGTTTTAATGATTTTCCCAATATCACGATTGGAATAGACAATTTGTAATCAGTAGAACTGATATAATCTGTGAATGCAGTATTTTTATTAATCCTTTTTTTATGGATGATAATGGAATGGTGCACCCGCCTGTGCTGACGGTTTACGCTGGCGGGGCACCAGTGGAGGATGATCAGATAAACATGAGGTTAAGTCATATAGCCCTAAATAAATTCATGGTGAATTTAACATGATGGTTCCCAGAAGAGACCACGGTAAGGGCAATCCAGATATCTAGGAATGGGGTTATAAGTCCACATTACTAACAATACCCTTCCCTCCAAGTAAGCCGAGTTTGTTGAGTATTTTTCATCTCGGAGAAGTTTTTGGGCAATAGTTACACAAACTATTATCCCAAATCCACGGTGAGGGCAATCCAGATATCTAGGAATAGGGTTATTAGACCACATTACTAACAATTCCCTTCCTCCCAAGTAATCCTCCAAGTAGTTGGAGAAGTTTTTGGATTATAGTTACAGAAACTATTATCAAAAAACTTGTATAAATGTTGACTGAGTCTCCATTGTTAGCAATCTACCAGCTTGAGTCAACTTGCCCCTACCGCTACATCATGATTACTCATCATCATGAATTGACTACTATGAACTAACTGCACTACTGACTTCATGATCATCCTATCATTCTCCACTGGTGTTCTTTTAGTATATTCTATTAAAACAGGCACAAGTTCCATTCCATCATCAAACATACAAAATAAGCTCCAATACTTCCTGATATCACACTACACCTACACACACAAAATAAAAATAGTTTAGTTTTAACTTTTATAAATGAGTTAAACGTTAGGTACAACTAGTTTAATATTAAAGTCCTATTACATAACCTAACCTCAAACGAAAGAAACTTCTGACGTCATAGATTCGAGTTATACTAATATTAAAGGCCTCCAGTGTACTCTAGCACGAAATTGTATAAATACCATTGAGTGTACTCTAACGACTATTTATTTTAAGATTAAAACCGTAACACGCAACGTTTATGTAACAACTCTTGAAAAAAAATAAGTTAACACAATAACAACATTATTTTCAGCAAAACTTACGCAATTTTGCCATAATGCAGACATGACTTAACACAATTCTACCCCTGATCCCGTCTATATTAAAATATTGTACCAGCCAATACACTAAGTGGGATACAAGTGGGGTGAATGTTACAAATATGTCATACAGACCAGAAATAGTGGCCTAGGTGTTAAGTAAACCAGCCCAACAAAGCTATTCACAGACGCGTTGCCACACAATAACCGTTGCTGAAATGAAATATCATTAAACACTACTTATTTTAACACTTAACCATTGTGTTGTTATGTGGAAAACGTCTTTTAGTGTATCCCTTTTCGGAAAACGTCTCTATTATTGTTAGACGTCGACACGATCCCGCGACTCAGTCACTACTGGGCGCAGGCTGTGTGAAATTGGTATTGTTGGCACTTCAAAAGCCTCAATGTACACATACTAATGACATTAACGTATAAATTATTAAAAAGAAAAACACTTTATAATTATAAATAGGAGTTAAATTCATAAATGAAACAAATTAAATTATATCATTCAATTTCTTAATTTAATCAATAAATCAAAATTCGAATTTCAGAACGTATTCAAATTTAGAATATAATTTATGAAAAGTTTTGTGTTGTAAATTAAAAATATTTTGATCCATTTTTGAATTTTGAATTTCGAATTTGGAATTTTTATTCGTAAGACATTCGTTTATTTGAGTGCGCGCGTCGCCGGAGCCGGTCGATACAGCTCGTGTCATATGCTCCGCAACTGTACGGCGACAGACAGTCTTTCTCCTCTACAATTCTGGGGTTTTACTACCAAGTTTTATTGGGATCATTTTCCTGTGCGCTTTAAAGGGCTACAGCTATACAAAATTCAAGAGTGTTGTACTTTCGGGTGCGAGTCAAAATCAACATAAATGTATGTTATAGTGAGGCACGTAATTTTGGGAAGAGCACATCACTCCCGTTGAGTTGCTATGTTTTCGCTGTTTACGTTGTAATGGGAAAGTTGTTTGGGGTAGGTTGAATATTGATAAAATGTCAAATGACGCGTACGTCATTGAATTCGTGCAGGGTGAAACGGATATGTAGATATGAACAAAGAAAGTTGTGCTCGTAAACGGGTGCTGTTCTAGTTGTGATCTGCTCTAATAACTATAACTGATTTATTTTGTTACTCAACTATTGATTTCTTTATATCAACTTTGCTATTTGGCAGTTTGTTCACACACGATTCTTAATAATATAATTCTGAACAACTTTTATTTAAAAGAGAAACACGTAAGTTTCTTGCTAATTCTTCTTGTGATGAGTCTTCCTTCCGAATGAGTGGTAAAATAAAAAAAAAATAGGACTATTCAAAAGTGCTTATATTATGTTTATTTGAATAAATATTACTTCTATACTATTTTAAAGAAAGAATACAAATAATTTTGTGTAAATTGAATATAATTACAAATTATTTCTTTATATATAAGCAAGTAGGTAATAAAAGTTTTCTAAACACATAATCCTTGAAAATATATCGATCAATAGTTACCATTGTATGGTACGAGTTAGAAGGAGAGAATGCTATCACTATAGCTTATGATTACGGCATTCAACAGAGAATCGAACCTGGTATCTCTTTTATCTAAATCAATACAATGATATAATAAATTCATCTCCGCCCCACAGATCTCGTAATAATTTATGTAAAATAAAAAAGCTATGATTAAAGTTTTTATTAATTAAAAACAGTAATTAGGGCTACTGAATAATTAATAGATTGTCATGTACCCGGTTTCAACGGAACTGACATCAAAGAATCATTTGTGACGTAGATATAATGTGACAATGAATATTTGAATAAAAGGAATTTCATTACGAATATAATTAGTGAAGTATAATAACATTTAGGCCAAATATTCCAATATTGTTAACATATTCGTTTGTGGTTAACCTACTTTAATAAAATAGCTCTGTCTGTCTTTCACGCTAAAAATACTGAACCTCTTTTAATAAAATTTAATAAACCGATAGCCTAGAATGTGGGAAAGGACATAGGCTACTTTTTAATGCGAAGAAATGGGTGAAAGCACTTTAAAGGTGGTATGGAAGTATCGTCATTTTTAAAATATCCCCTAAATAATAAATTAGGGGATGAAAGTTTGTATGGAAATTCGTCATTCGTCGGCGATTCAATGCAGACGAAGTCGCGGGCAGAGCTATAGTGTATATAATAATAGTTCTTTTGACTTATATAGAAAAAGTGTTAAGAAATAATAAAAGGGGAATGAAAATGGTGTAGATACTATATATTCCACGCTGTCTACTCTATATACCAAAGTGGAAGCCATAGATTCCAGTTTTACAAAGTAGAATAAAATAAACGCTAACAATGTTAGGTTTTCATGCGAGTAATAACAGTGGTTGCAGTTATTTCGTATGAAGTACGAATTAATAAACACCGTACTACTTCCAGGAGCATTAGCTGCCTTTACACCAGACGTGTTTTCACGCGCGATCAGGATCGCACGAGATTTAACACGGGAAAGACTGCGCACGCAATTTAGCGCGGGAAAGCAAGTTCGCTCAATTTAGAGCGGGCGCCAAAGCGGGAAAAGCGCGCACAATTTAGCGCGGGAAAGCAAGTTCGCTCAATTTAGAGCGGGAAAGCAAGTTCGCTCAATTTAGAGCGGGAAAGCAAGTTCGCTCAATTTAGAGCGGGAAAGCAAGTTCGCTCAATTTAGAGCGGGAAAGCAAGTTCGCTCAATTTAGAGCGGGAAAGCAAGTTCGCTCAATTTAGAGCGGGAAAGCAAGTTCGCTCAATTTAGAGCGGGAAAGCAAGTTCGCTCAATTTAGAGCGGGAGAGCCAGCGCGCGCCATTAGCGCGGGAAAGCAAGTTCGCTCAATTTAGAGCGGGAAAGCCAGCGCGCGCCATTAGCGCGGGAAAGCTAGCGCGCACAATTTAGCGCGGGAAAGCAAGTTCGCTCAATTTAGAGCGGGAAAGCAAGTTCGCTCAATTTAGAGCGGGAAAGCAAGTTCGCTCAATTTAGAGCGGGAAAGCAAGTTCGCTCAATTTAGAGCGGGAAAGCAAGTTCGCTCAATTTAGAGCGGGAAAGCAAGTTCGCTCAATTTAGCGCGGGAAAGCAAGTTCGCTCAATTTAGAGCGGGAAAGCAAGTTCGCTCAATTTAGAGCGGGAAAGCAAGTTCGCTCAATTTAGAGCGGGAAAGCAAGTTCGCTCAATTTAGCGCGGGAAAGCAAGTTCGCTCAATTTAGAGCGGGAAAGCCAGCGCGCGCCATTAGCGCGGGAAAGCTAGCGCGCACAATTTAGCGCGGGAAAGCCAACGCGTGCAACTTTTAGAGGAAAAACCAGCGCGCGCGATCGTAACTGCATTTGATTGTTTCTCTTTTCAAATTTTAGTCATAAATTTAAATTTAATTTCAATTCAATACAATGATCATTTATTCATGTGAGACATTTTGTCTGCTATTTGTAATTAATATATTTTACCTACCGTCCAGTTAAGTATTGAGATTCAATTGAAATGAACTGCAAAAAAAAACAACTGACGCTGAATGATAAAAACTATGAAATGAAATTTTAAAAAAGATTTTAAAAATGATATTTTATTATCCAAAACACGTTTAAGATTTATAAATTATGGATGATCGATATTTATGTCTTTGCTCCATAGTCAGATTTCCGTCATATAACAATTAATTTTAAAAAAAAAAGCAGTTAACGCTTGCCACATATGGACCCAGGAATGCGTAGACTGGCAGCGCGTGCGGAGTCTCGTTCTCTTTGTCTACATGCTCATTCTTTCTTGTTTGAAAACCGATTCACGCGTGAAATAGCGTACGTGTAAAGGCAGCTATTTACCTAACATTGTATAACTAATTACAAATGACCTATTTCATTCTTCGTTTCCTATATACATATATAATATATTCATAATAACATATAATTATTATGTTACATGAATCAAGCAATTTAATAGACTACCCGATGAAAAGTAATGATATTTTTTTTATACCACTCAGGTGGCAAACAAGCATACGGCCCATCTGATGGTAAACGGTTACCGTAGCCTATGGACGCCTGAAACACCAGGGGTGTCACATGCGCGTTGCCGACCCTAAAAAACCTTAATATACCCATCTTGAAAAACCCCATGCTGTAGTCTCTCGAGAAAACCTCGGCAGGAAGTTCATTCCACAATCTAAGTGTACGCGAGAGGAACTTAATAACCACGAGAATGACGGGAAACATACTTTTTTAAGAACTATTACAATGCTGTTGGCCCCAGCTGGTCTTTACAGCTGTACAGGATGAAAGGGACGAATGTAATGGGTTACTGCAACCCCACACACAAACTTATAGAGCGGCTGAAGATCATCTTCAATCAGTACATCTTCCTTCCATGAACACTAAGATGTGAACTACCCAAGTTTGTATTCATTAGTATGATTGTTTTCCCGGCAAACGTTGTTTTGCCTTAAAATAAAACAAAAAATTTAGGGGTAGACTACCCCTAACATTTAGGGGGATGAAAAATAGATGTTGGCCGATCCTCCGACCTACTCAATACGCTCACAAAATTTCATGAGAATCGGTCAAGCTGTTTCGGAGGAGTATGGGAACGAAAACTGTGACACGAGAATTTTATATATAAGATTATGTGTGTACAAAAAATATCTATGTGTTTATATTAATTGTCTAGTACCCATAACACAAGCTCTGCTTAGCTTAGAGCTATTATAGATGGTGCTGTGTGAATTGTCGTCGGATATATAAATAAAAGATAACAAACATATATATGTAGAAGATCTTCTTATTCTGTCATTTTCCATACTTTGTCATAATTTCCTTTAAAGTACAATACAGTTTGCAAAGCAAGTTACTAACAGCAGATGTAAGTGATGTAGAAATGCACATGCAGACAACTTTTTATGATAAATGTCCCTTTCATAAAGAGATTTTTTAAGTCTTTGACTTTTTAATTAATATTATTTTCTTATTTTATTTTGTATTAAGGTATTTATATTGAGGACAACTAACGGTTATATATTGTAATATGGCATACGGCTATTTTGTTACAATTTTTTAGCGAATTTTTGCATCAACTATGTTAACCACTAATTAATACATTTTTAAATTAATAATGAATATCTAGATAACAATAAATTGTTAGGATTTCTTAAAACAGTTAACGATTTAGTACTTTTCTAAATAGTTATTAGTTTTTAGCCTATTTAGTTGTGATAGATTCACAAATTTAGTTGATTTTGTGAGAAGTTTTTTTTTTGTCGATTTGTTCCCTGAAACATCTATCACACTGAGTTATATTATAATATTTACTACCTTTTTATATTACGATCACGCA